AAGTACATTATATTGACATGTAGTGCTCTCATTTACAATGTAGTCGAGATATCAGAAAAACCAGAAGACACAATTTTACAAAATATTTGAAAATTGTGTTTTAAACAATAAAAAATAAAATAAATGAATAAAATCATACAGATAAATTATTATTTAATTATTAAGAATGACTATAAAATTAAATCTTTCATCTTCATCCACATTACATGAACGTATTAACATGAAAACACTGAACATGCAACATCTACAGACTGAGCACGTGCATTATCTAGGCAGACAAAAACATAGTTCCCAACAACTTCGTATGACATAGACTGGCATTTCTCAACCCTGGTCCTCATGGCCCACCATCCTGCAGGTTTTAGATGTTTCTATCCTTTGACACACCGGATTTGTATGACCGAGTGACAAGAYTTCTTAAGAAATCAATCAGCTGAAGAGCAGGGAAAAAACTGAAATGCAAGATAGTGAGCCTCGAGGACCACGGTTTGGAACCRTTAACTTAAACATTACAATAGTTTAGTTTCTTTCCACTCAGTTCTTGTTAATGATGTACACTACCTGAAATAACTGAAGTATCAACATATCCATAGTTTGATTTTAGCTTCCATAGAGCATAAAGTTCTGGTGCTGATCTATCAAGATTTCAGTATCAATCCACACGTCACTACACTCAGCTACTTCTGTGCTACACATTGACAGAGTTACAGTATAGCCCTTTTTGAATTTGCTGTAGAAATGGTAATGTGTTGCAGATGTACATCCAGTGATTACTTCCTGCAAGTTTAATCAAAACACATTTGTTGGTTCGCAAGACATTTCACTAACAGACGGGCACGCACAGACAATTTCATTGTCACCTGCCTTTCATTGCACTGGGTAATAAAAAGATGTACATCCGCACCTAGAATGGCAGCAGAAAGCCATCCACAATGCATAAAACCATGAGAAAAAAAAAGACTTGCACACTACAGGACTCCACTCATGGCTCATTTCTTGCAGCAAGGTGATGTTTTAAGCAATCAGCGCTTCACCAGACAAAGTTGCTTTGTACCATTTCATTTTAAATCACATGGTGGCAATCATGTGACAATATCGTGTGAGAAAAATGTAACAAGAAACCGTTTCTGTCGACTAGAAAGACTCTGCAAAAGGTAAAATAAGAAAGCTGCAAATACCCATTTAACCACAGACATAGCTATAATACCAACCAAGATAAACCATTTTATACGTAAAAGAAAACTACACAAACCTCTTATTTAGGTAAAAAATTTGCATACAGCAAGGTGCAGTTATTTTATTTAGGTGAAACACWGCTACAGTATAATCTTTTGAAGTATGAAACATGTTGTGTGAGATCATCTCAACAGGTCTATATTTAAAAAGCTTCAATATTCAACCGTTTTTAATTTATGTTTGAATGATTAATCCTCAGTCTGGTTCCACCACTACAGTTACTAAACTCATCATGACAAGTTTAAAAATAGAGCTAAATCAAAAGAATATTTTTGTTAGAAACTTGTTGGAAAAAAAAAGGGAAAAAAGACTGATTTATGTGAAGTTCATGCTGAGAAATTACAGGGGTGGAGCTAGACTTTTTTGAAAGGGGTGGCACCAGGGGTGGACAATCAGGTGTTAGAGACTTGCCCCTCCAGCYGCCCCTCTGACTCCGCCCCTGAGAGTGTTCTTTTTGTAATCTCTTTGAGAATCTGTTGACTCAGAAGTCACTAACAAGATTGTTGTTTTGATCTGAACTCACTGAGGGCCAGAAAAAAAGRGGTGCAAAGACCAATTTTGGCCCTCAGGCCATATTTTGCCTTTACATGGGATAGATAATGCTCTTACTTATTCTGTAAATTAGATTTATTACATAATTTAAACTAAAACTAAAAATATATTCAATCATTTAAAAAGTTGCACATGGTTCTGACCCTTCCTCAGAGTTTAGATGTTCAAAATAAATAAATAAAATAGCAGTAAAATAAATAAAAARTAATTAAATACATATACCAAGGAGGACTAAAACAATATTTCTCTTCTGCACACACTGACACAGAAAAGTCACACTCAGGTCTTTCCAGCAAACTTGACTCAGACCCATATTGAGCATCTCCATGTGATTCGTGATTTATTACAATCACCTGCTGTATGTCTCTGGATGCAGAATTGCCCGTGCCGGGTCTGGCTGATAAACTGTACAGCATGTGTGTGTATGCCAGTTAAGCATTTGGCCATTTTGTGCTGTGGAGARTAATGGAGATCATTACAGCTTGTAATTATTTTTATATGAATGAAAAACACAAACTGAAAAGATACMAAAAAAAATTTAATAAAAAAAGGGAGAGAGAGTGCRTCCATTTGTGCAGGTGGGTTTGTTTTCTACCGCAAACAAGCAATTTGAATTCTAGTAGCTAATTATTACCAATCATCAACTTAATTGCATCAAACTACAATGCTTTTTGTCATTTGCCTGAAACAAACAAATGTTTTTTTTTTTCTTCTTTTTTTCTCTCCCTCTGGCAATCATAGAAATGTATTTTCCCACATGGTTGTAAATGTGACACAAAACAAGACAGGAAACCAGTTGAGCGTACATGTTTCATCCCTCAGAGGCATGAAGAATTGATGACCTGTGGCGATATATTCGCAGTATCATTTCCTGTAGTAATTTACTGTGGGTGGTAAAAAATAAAAAATAAAAAAGCCTTACAGGAAGATTGTAGGAATCCTTTGTAAATGCTGCTGTGCTRATATGAGTTTTGGTGGATGATTGGACACAAAAACACATTTCTGCWTCTGTTGTCACACTCTATTTGTTTGTGTTCTGTTATGTTACATGTACCATACACATGTGAGTGCGTGTGTGCGTGAGGAAAACTGCACGCCCCCTCTGTGGTCCTATAGTGTCAGGAAAAAAAAAGTCAGCTTTTTCTTCCTATATGCCCTGTTCTGGCTGAGCCATARGGGTCACTTCCGAGGGTCTGATTCAATTATTCTTCCTTTCAAAACAGGAGGAAAACATTTTCATGGTGAATGGTTTGCCTAAATAGATTACCATCTCAAATAATTCAATTTRCGTTAATTTGATTGATTTCATACCAAGGGGGAAAAGAAATCTTAATTTAAACGCATTGCATTTCTAATCAAACATTAACCGGGAAGCAGGCCCAGGCGAAAATCTTTTATTACCCGTTTCTTCACTAATTTAAATAGAAAATGCTGATGGCTGCCCCATTAAATATCACCATCACAATTCGATGCGTGTGCTCACATGATCGAGACTCTTTAACTGTTTGAAATCTGCTGCCCTCCTATTACAATCCCTGCACACTTCATCACAAACACAGAGGAGCTTTTTTGGTGGCCATTACAACAGAGGATCCAGATGAAGGAGTTCGGTCATCTGATCCATTCCCATCCATTATTCATCCTTCTCGAGGGGTGGGGGGCGGAGAGACAGAAATACTGGGGCTCCTCTTCTCAGGGAGAGACCCACAAAAACCAATCTATTCTTGTGAGCAAAAGAAATGCCATGCAGGAGGTGGGTCACCAAGACTGGAGAAGAGGGAAGAAGATCGAAAGACAAGGAGGAAAAACAGACGTTGAGGAGAGCGTGAGCACAAGAAGTGAAGAGAGCCATCAAGCACACGCCAAATCAAATTATTACCACTCTGAAAAAGGAAAAGAAGTAGAAAGTTCATATATATATATAT